CTGGAAGGTGCTATAAGGTCTCCTTGGAGCCTTCTCTTCTCCAGACTTACTTTACGCTAAGTGTTTGGGGGTGAAAGCATATTGGGTTTTGTTGCTGTGTTACTAAGGACCTGTTCAAAAGACCATTGCCTCCATTAAAAAAAAAAAAAAAAGAGCCTGGTATCAAACCAGCTGAATTGGTTTGCTAAAAATAGGCTTTGCTTTGTTCTGTGTTTTCAGGTCTAATTCTTTTAAACGCCCCCCCCCCAGCCTTTTGTGATCACCAAAGCTAACATGCATTCTTTGTTAATAGCAAGAAACCTCCCTGTTCTGCATTTCCAAACTGTATAATGCAGGATGAACAAAACAAATTGCTTCAGGTTTAAAAAGAAAATGCTGGCCCTGGCATGCCAGTCAGAGGCAAGACTCAAACCCAAGGCCCAACAGGCTCCATATCAAAAGGCTTTAAGATCTAAAAGCAAGTAATAAAAAGCAGCTTTAGTGCAAAACAACTTAGTTTGAAACAAGAGACCTCCATGAAGTGCCCAGTACACCAATAAAAAGGATAGCCTTGAGGTACAGTGGGAGTTAGAAGTTGTGTGCACTCATATCCATGGGGATGGCAGCACCTACTACCCCCCTACGTGGAGACTCTTCATGGGCAGCAAGAAGCAGACCTTGGCCTTCATGCTCAAACAAGATCTGCAGCCTGTTTACTCCCTCAGAAAACAGACCTGCTCTAAACCAACATCTACCTTTGATTTTAGGCTGATGACAAAGGTCCTAGCTGTGAGTTAGACAGCCAGCCCAAACTGCAACTCTCTGCCCTCTCCAAAGAGCTAAACCTGAGACTACTGCTGCCTAGTTCTGCCTGGCAAGCACAGCATGCTCCCTGGGGGCAGCTCAGGCAAACCAGTCCTGGATTTCCCCAACAAGGAGCCTGTTCATCTAAGTTTGAACAGTGCAGACCCTCAACAAAGCCTCAAAAGTTGAAAAACACATTTTTCATTTGGCACTGAGTTGGATAAGCTAGGTCTACATCCAGGACTAAAACTCTAATTGAGGGCTCATTACTACCTCCTTCTCACCTGGTACCTGCTGTGACCCATCTGGTGTCCATCACTGAATTTACTGAGGATTGTTTAGCAGATTTCAAGAGAGACTGAAACAGTGAATGGCAGGCAAAGTCCCTTTCCACTTATTATGGAGAGCTGCCATTTATATAAGAGCCTTGGAATACAAGAGGCAGTTTGTATAGCTCCAAAAATACTCCTTGGCCTTCACTCCAAACAAGCAAATGAAACAGTTCTATGACTTCATGTAACATCTGAACTCATATTAATGCAAAGCTTTTTTTATTATTAAGTTACTGGGGAGATTATAGGCAGATGAAACTCCTCCAGGAAAAACAAGTTCTCATGTGTGTGGCCACACAATATATTAGCAGGGTCCTTGGGTAAGAATGTGAATATTTGCAAAAAAAAAATAAATCATTTCCCAAGACTGGCTATTTGGTTTGTGCACCAGAAGGTGGGAGTTCCAAACCTGCTCAAGACAACCTCCACATCCAGCCCCAATGTGCTTCTGTTGACACAAGAGTGCCAAGCCCAAGCCTTACATTTGTTTGTAGCATTTTGAGTTGTTCGAGTACTTTTTACCAGGACTTAACAATAATCATCCCAGTTTGCTGTTTTCACACAGCGTAGCTCTCCTCGTGCACTTTGAGAATGGGCTTTCCCATCCAGTCTTCAGGGCTCAGATTTATGTCCTCACCCACTGACAGTTTAATTACTTTCATTGTAGGAGAAAGGATTTAATCACACACAGAAAAGCAGCCCCTTCAATACAGGGCTTTGGGCCCACGATCCCCAATTTGAAATTCAATGAAGGAGGATGAAACACGCACACTGTGACCCATTTCCTGATGCAGAACACTCTGTATTATCAAAACATACAGAGTTCCACAGCTGACACACACATTTTTCTAAACCATTGGCAAAATCCTTCCAGCATGCTAAGCCCACTAAAAGGAGGATTCAGTGTGCTAGGGATGGGATGGAAAGGCAGTACTAGTCAAGGAGCCAAAGACCAACATCATACACTCGTTCATGTATTAAAAATAATCCATCTAAAATGCTACTTGAATCACACTGGTAATTTTAACTTTCTCCTCAACAGTTACAACATGAAAGGTTAATTCATCCCTGGTGATTCTCAGCACTAGATACACATGAATGGTTCCTTATTGAAACAAAAAAAAAGAAGGGGAAGGAGAGGAATTCTCAGCCACTCCTTGTGGCAATTCAGCACAAATGCAGTCATAAAAAGCAGTTGTTAAGTGTCAATAGTTATATATTAAAGCTGACTACCAGCACCAGCTGGCCTCCTTCCCCAAACTTGTATTTAATTCATTACAGACAAGACAATTAACACATCCAGAAGTGCAGTGACTAGTCAGGTTATGCTGTAAGGCCCTTGCACTGCCATCAAGATTAAATCTCTCAGCAGCAGCAGCTCAGGTGCAGTTAAATATCAGCTGTGAGAGTATCAGAAAACTTAGTATTAAAGCCAAGAAGTGGTCTCACAGCTACTTGGGTGAAACAGAACATGGTGCTAGAGGGGACCCACTGGATTAACAATGACATTCAGTCTCAGACACAGCCTGTGTGTATCATGTATATATTTTATAAAATAGTCTTCTGAAGAGTGGAGAACAGCCACAACACTAAAACACCTGCTGTAACAGAGGGGAGTATTTGTGCGTTTGCTTTATGAAGCTTACATTCTAATGTTTACAAAGGCCAGCACTTGATATATAAAGACTCTCCACTAACAAACAAATCTGGAATACATCAATTGTACAGGTAAGTCAGCCAGAAATAAGCAACAGCTTTGCTCTTCTCAGTTTTAAGAAAGCATGCAACAGGTTTCCCCCCCTCCTGCCACCCCTTGCTCAGATTTCTAAATCATAGTACTAATCAAAGCAGGGTATAATGACACTGGGGCAACAGGGAACAGGTTGAATTTGATGACAGACTTTTTATCAGTATTTTGCAAAAGTTTTAGCATCAAGAGAGCAGAGAAGATACAAGCATGAGTTAAAAAAAAAAAGAGTGATTTAAGACATCAAAAATTCAAGAAATAGCACTGTGCATATACAAATCAAATTAACATTCAGTACTGCAGAGCTCATTGAAAAATGGCACCAAGGGACAGGATTTTACAATATGCACATTTATTTGAGGTGGGGAACTAAAGCTCCACAGGTGAAAATTATATTACAAATTGTAGTGCCACCATTGGCCCAGTATGGTACTTCTTACAAATTAATGGGAACACTTTTAAAAAATAATCTGGTATGTACATGTCTTCTGGAAACTCAACAGCTTCTTCAGAACAGGAAAAAAAACAACCCTATGGTTCTCCCCCTCCCCTTTTTAGCCAAACAGTATTGCCAGAGATTGTGCTCACTTTTCAAGCACATCATCTTACTTTCAATTCAGTGCTATTTTCTTTCAAAAAGAAGTTGTACTTTTAGAGAAACAAGAAGCATTTATGTTACAAACATTCAAAAATGGAAGCTTATGATTCTGGCAGACAACGTTGCGTATTAAATACAAACCAGCCAGCAATTACTGAACATAAAAAACTTAATCATAAAAAAATACTATAATTCATCACCACAGACTTTTTACATAGTTATAAATAATAAATAGCATAACACAGTAGATTACAAACAGATTTATTTTGCCCCATTAAAGTCTTTAAAAAGTAAAATACCTATTGTCTTACCTCAGACTGACCAAGGTACTTTTATCAGGCCTACGCAGAGCTCACATCTGACTCCTCAGCCCATCTGCAGAGCTCACATTCAATCCAAACTTTGAAGCCTTTCCTTAGAAACTGACTGTTCATTGAGCTGCTTGCCCTGCTCACAGCCATCACAAAGCCAGGAATGCTGCAGAGAGCAGCTCCAAAGGTTTTGGCTGCCATCTCCCAGCAGAGCTGGGCCTGCCCAACAGCACCTTGGCAAGGGAAGGAACAGGAAGGGAAGCAGCACCCAGGACAGACTCTTGGCAAGCACTCCCATCAACAAGCTGTACAAAAAGGACTTTGCCCACCCACCCCTCTGGTTTATATCCCATCCTTTTCTAACAATGTCCCCTAAGGCACAAGAATACCTATGACCTCAATGCCACAGGAGACATGATGGTGCCACACGTGGTTGTCCTACACAGTAGTTTAAATGACTCAGTGATCTGCACTGCACGTCTGAGATCGAGGCGTGGATCCATTTTCCTTGGCCAGACCTTGCTAAGCATTGACCTTATCTCCTACAACCCGTAGGATAAACGATCTGGGGACAGAATTATGCAGCTTTAATCATCTTCAAGCTGTTCTTTCTTTGCTGATGATAAATGTGCCAGTCATTAGTTATTCTGTTGTGGGGTTTTGGGTTTGTTTTTTTAATGTAGTAAGAGTGAGATTTCCAGACCAGCTGTGGTCTTCGGTAATAGAAAGGACTAGCAGCACTAAGAAAAGAGGGTTTTTTCTCACTTCTATAAGAGAATTTGAGTCTAGTGACTGAAAAATAAAAAAAAAAGAAGCAAGGATATTTTTACACAATGGCAGAAGTGCCAGAAAATAAATTAGTATTTTCAAATCCTTCCAAACCAAATTATTTCCCCCTAGACAGAGTGACCACGATAACGACAGAAGTATTTTCCAAAAAACTGCATCACTAATAGGTAGTTCCCTATTCTTGGAATCAAAAAGTGTATGCAAGTTCCTGAAAGCAAAAAGTTAGTATAATCTGAGCAGACATCTTGTTTAAAAAACAAATTTGCAAAACCAGACATTAATATGGTCTACAGTGTCCATTAAATGGATAAATCAAAATCATGGAAAGTCACCAAGGATGACAGTTTTCCTTTCAGTAATCCTCACGTTAATGGTTCAAGGATCAGAGTTTGTTTCCCTGTACAAGTGTAGAGGGAGGGAACAGCACAGCCAGACACTGACTCAGAACTTAAGTCACTTGGGTGAGAGATCATCCATCAAAATGAATGAGGAGCAGGAGTTGGAGCAGGTCACTGGAGACTCTGTGGTTATGCTGCCTTTAGTCAAGGAATCAGAGGAAGAGCCAACACTGCTGCTGCTCCCATCCAGGATATCTGAAGACAGGCTGGGGAAAAAGAAAAAGATTAGTAAGGTGGGCCTGATGTCTTTGTGTAGAAAGCTCATGTCCTTCCCCCTCTGTAGAAAGGATGTTGGAGACCTATACTACCACTCAGCCTTCACTGCAAGACTGGCAGCCCTGAAAACTCCTTGTTTTCTCTAGCATGTTGTGTAGTGATTCGTGCTCCTCAACACTGCTGCTGCTCCCATCCAGGATATCTGAAGACAGGCTGGGGAAAAAGAAAAAGATTAGTAAGGTGGGCCTGATGTCTTTGTGTAGAAAGCTCATGTCCTTCCCCCTCTGTAGAAAGGATGTTGGAGACCTATACTACCACTCAGCCTTCACTGCAAGACTGGCAGCCCTGAAAACTCCTTGTTTTCTCTAGCATGTTGTGTAGTGATTCGTGCTCCTCCGGGAATGAGGAGCAGAATTATTTTTTTTTTTAACATGCAGAACAAATCATGACTCTGATTTTAATGAGTTACAGAAAGGAGGTGAAAAGTAATGAGGATAAAACTGTAAAAGATTATAGGAAAAGAATAATAAGAACCTAATCAGCAATGAAGCAAAGATGTCACTGATTACTTCAGTGTTGCACAACTCAAAGCAAGATTTTGGAGGGCACAGAAACTGATGCTTATGCAATTTAGCTGGAAGCAACACACACAAATATTTCTAGGCAGTTTCAAGTCTGTAGGCAAACAAATTACAGTAACACACAGTTGATACTTTAGAATACTTGGTATCTGACTCTTGACCCACGAAAGAACCCTGCTTTTTATGATCATAAGGAGACACAGGAGGGTAACACTAACACATAAATGTATCAACACGAACTGCAGTAACTATTACACACACATTTTCCAGTCCTCAGAAGCACCACAGATACTATTTGACCACTGCCCACAACAGACTGAAATGAAGAAACATCTTTGAGGCAAAGCAACTTTGCTGATGAACCAACGAGGATTTGTAACAATTATATTCAGTATTGAAGTTTTGATACACAAAATGTAGGCTAGGGTCTGCTCAGGAGGAACTGATCAAAGAAGCAGGAACATTGTCACATGCAGGCTACACATAAAGTAGGGGTTTTTTGTCTGGAAGGAAAAATAAAAACCAAACCAAGAAAGCTTGTGATAAATGCACAGTCCTTGTTCTGGCATTTCAGGGCACATGAAATATTTTACCATGAACTGAGATCTGTCAGATGTGTAACATCTGGAGAAAGCATGTTGGTTGTTCCTTGAAAAAGTCTCTTTGGCTGACTTTCAGTTTCCATTTCACCTGAGGAAAACAGTGCAAATAATCAAACTTATTGAGCCTCTGGCACGACTATTTAACATTTCTCTATTGTAAAACAAAGGTTTGCCCCATGATGCATCAAGGTTGCACCTGTCACATGGTGAATCCTCTACAGCAAACAAAACACAGGGGTAAGGCATTAATTTGGTACTAGTTGTTTAACCATCCAGTCCATCCTTAACTGAACTAATGCTTCAGCAGTACCTGAGGGGCTGCAACGATCTCAAAGACACAAAACCAGGCATTTGCTACCTAAGACTACAAGTCAAGTCATCATCAAGTCATCTACAAGTCATCAAGTCACCATCAAGTCATCTACAGCAAACTAATTACTGTGACTTGATTTTAACTAAGCAGCTGACATGATACAACTGACACAAGCCAAAATATGGACATCAAATCTTGGTGATCATGAAAAGAGGAATGCCAGCTTGGTGCAGAGTTTCACCCTCCTGTGTGCAACAAATTCTGAGGCATGTGAACACTTTTACAGAAAAGTTGAATAGAAAAAATTGGCGTGTGTGCACTTCTAATTAGTCATCAATCCGACTGTCTTTGTACCTGTAATCATCATCTACTGACAAAAAAAGATTAAACATGATGGGGAGAACTCATACAATCTGTTCTGTATAATCTACCCAGCTTCTGTACAACAGGCACACTGAAAATATCATGACTTTGCCAATAACAAGCTTAAAGAAAAAGAAAAAACCTCTCACTACGGTGTATTTGAATTTTTAGTTTGGCAACAGAATTGTATGAAAAGGAAATACATTTTCTGACTTTTTAAACTTTTGTTCAACTTTTAATGCCTCTAAAATTCATAGAAAACAACAACCAAGGTAGGATTGATATCTATGAGAAAACTTGTCTCTCTCTTCTCCACTGTCAATATAAATTAGACAACAGTTTTATCTGATGTGAAAGCAATCCTAAAAACACCAGTAAGCAGTAGCTTTCCCCAAAGGCTAAACATAATTCTTATCAAATAAAAGGACACGTTTTTGGTGCAGTTAAGGATGCCTAAGTTTAAAAATCAAATGCAAAGATAAGAATAGCTAGAGGGACACTTGTAAATACTTCAGTCTTCCAGTTCTGCTATGGAGACTTGTTCTGGGATGTAACTTGAATATCCTCACTATGGAATACTTCCAGGAAAGAATGCAGCTTTCCCCCTTCAGGAAGAAGGAGCACTGATCTATTCCATTTCTCTAAACACTCACCTTCTGAACTTTCAGAATATAACCAAACATTCAGTACTAAGTTTAGAAGATACTGCATGATAAGCAACATTCCTGAGATGATCTGCAGGGTGTGCACTGTACAGTGGTACTCATAGGAATGTCAGGGCTTACAAATATTCATAACACTTAATTTGATGTGGAATAAGTTTGCCTCTTTCAAGTAGCAACTGCTTTAAAAATTTTTAAGTCTTGTGGTTTAGACTATCTACTTTACATTGTATTTTTAAGTTACCACTGGCAAATTCCAGTTCACTGCAGATACAAGTGCATTATATTTACAGAACAACAGCAAAAATATGGGAATGTATCCAGCTGCAAAACTACATCCATATTATAACATCTGGGAATGTAAATACACATACCTTTTCTTTTAATGGGGCCAAGAACACTGGGCCTAATACAGTTGATTGGACTTTGACTCCTCCTGCTAGAGAGAGAGGACACTGACACTCAGTCAGGCCTGTGAAGGACCCAAGCCTGAACACCACCACACCCAGCACCCAATCAACACAACCATAACATAGGAAATGTTCTTTAAAACTATTTATTTACAACCTGGAATGCTTAGGGAACCTGAATAAATAGGTAAAAGTGCTGCCTATTAGAGCAGACTATTTGCCACACCAAGTTGTAGTGAATTTTCTAGGGTCTTCTCCTTCCCTTCGTGCATCACATTCTCACTTCAATCCATGTACAAATTGTGTGCAATATTTACATGGAATTAATTGATAGGCTAGTTAACCAATTTCACTTGAAGCACCCAGGAATTTCCTCACAAATTACCAAGTCTAGTTTGCAGCTGACCAAGGTTCCTACAAGAACTTGTACATAAAGCTACCACTGGTAGAAGCTGAACTTCCACATTTTGGTGTGGCAATCCTTTAGCTATTCCAAAACTAGTGTCTCTTTTAATGCCTTGACATCAGCTTTAACTAATCTTTTTGCTAGCTTTGGAATTCATGCCAATGTAGGGCATGTATAGCTGCTACTTGCAGATATTACTCACTTGGAGAATCTCCTGGTTGGGCTGGGAATAGGACTTGGAGGTAATCCATTGCTGCTCACAAACATTTGCAATGATGGTGAGAAACATTGCTGCAGACAAAGTCACATTAAGATGCTTCAGAATTTCCTTTTAAATACTCAGGTGTTTCCCCCCATTCTCCAAACAAAACATGCCCATTTAAAGAAAACCTAGTAACAGAATAAGGCAGAGATGACCAAACACAATCTTAAAAGCATTAAAACTTAACTTGCAAAAACATACTGGCTAATGCAATCCTGCTCAGATTAACCTAAAATTCTAACCCACAAGAAATCTGAAACTAGAACAGTTTTCTAAGTAAGAGGGTTGTTTCTGTTCTTTCTGTTACATTTAGAAGTAGCATTAGAGCACTCAGGACTTACTTCTTCCAAGAGGTTTGTCAAAACAAGCAAGTTGAGCTTACTCAAAATTCACCTGACCTGAAAATTTAACACAATGTTCCAAAGTAGAACAGAGTATTCAGCTCTGTAGTTCTGCAGCTGAGTTTAGCCCATGAATGCCCACAGCTAAGCACAAAAATGTTTCTGTCAAATTGACAGCCACTGCTTTGCAGTCATGATTCCAAAGGTACAGGACGCCAGCTGCCAGCATCAGTGTGACACCAGAGACACATTTACCCAGCATTAGCAAGTGGCTTCTCCGTGCTAGAGGCTTGCAAAAAAATAGCAGCAATAAAAGCAGAACCTCAAAAGAGGGTGAAAAAGAGGTCAGGGAGCCCATCTTTCACCACAGTTCAACACAGTTGCCAGTTTCTCTCTGCTACATTTCAGTTTTCCAGTTCTCACTGGACAAAGTAGTTTACCCAAGTTCCAGCTCAGTCAGTTTATGCCTTCCTTTCCCTGACAGACATCTTCAACCTCCTCACCACAGAGATCTGCAACTCCTGATCCTTGCTTGCACTCCTACTCTACAGGACACATCCTGATTGTGGCACTCCTTCCCCAGCACACCCCCTCTGACTTGGCTGAAGATCATGTCCAAACCTGCTTACTTTAACAACCTCTTCCAGCTTCCCTAGAGCAGAACTCTACCCTGTCCAAACACTGCACAAATAGCAGCAACTGAGAACATTCAGTGTGACAGAACTGGCACACAGCTCAAACTCCATAGGCTCTAAGATGATAAGAATCATCTGATTCTTTGAAACCAATAAGATGTGGGTTTGGGCTGGAGGGGGTTTTGTTGTTGCTTGGTTGTGTTTTTTAATTATCAAACAATCTGTGAAGCTACACAACTTCACAGTCCATCTTGGTCTAAAATTCTACTATGTTCACCCAGTTTGGTATTTCAGTTATCCTACCTTTCCTATCCCTCTTGTAGGGGAAGGTGCAGGTGAAACTGGAATGAAGTCTATTCTCTTTGGGGAGGAAGATTTCTCAGACTTGTCCAAGTCATTGTCACTCTGTAAATACAAGGTTTCACACTCAACACACTGGTGCATAACATTACCTTGGAACCCAAGGCACAGCCTCCTAATGGAAAGTCACTGGGCCAAATGCATGAGACAGCTAAGGTAGATGAACTTAATTTCTTCTTAAATTACTTTCACAGTTAAATTCTCTCTTCCCCTTAAATTCGTCAGTCGAGTGTAAAAGGAGAATTAAAAAGGAAACATCTATAAAGAGATTACCAGGCTCAAGCTTTCCTCCCATGACTGGCTTATCTGCATTGCTGTTTGCACTTCCCTAGAACACAAAAAATCCCATCAGTAGCTACAAAGAGGATAAGTCTGGCTATTTTATCATCTTGTTTCAATAACACTCACCTTTCATGCGCTGTTTCTCTGTTCATTAAATCCACTCCTTCCTCCTGCAGGAGATAAATGCCATAAGTTTTCCCACAACATCTAATTCATCACAGGTACTTGGAATAATGCTTGTGATTCAGTAAATCCCTGTTAGAACTGGAATATGAACAGCAGGAGCACTTCCAGAAGGAAGAGACTGCCAGCAGCCCAGCTCACTTCATTCTCTTGAATGAAACAACACTTAAAAAATGCAAAGTAGTTAAAACATGACAACCACAAGCCTTGCAAGGACAGCTCCTTGTTGAAATTAAGTCTTAAAAAAAGACTGTTTCCTCTTGGGAAACTCAATAGGAAAACTCCCACCATGCAAATGGTTCAATATTACAGAATACTTTTCATTCTGTTACTAAATATGGAGGTAAGAACTTCACTTACCCTTCTGATCTGATGAAGTCGGCTGCTAGGAATACGAATAGGAGACGATGACAACAACTGGGAAAACACAAAAGTGCCAGCCACAATGATTAAATCCCACACCAGCAGCCTGCATGCATCCCATCACCTGCCTTCTCAGTGAATTAAAAATGAGCTGTACAACTACCTGTGGGTGACTCAAAACGATGTTGCAAAAAGAAAACATTGACCTTCAGGAGAAAAGACTGGTTTTACCACCCACAAATTCCTTCTGTCACTCAGCAAGTGGTGCAGAGCTCAGGCTTGCAAGCAGGCCCAGCTCAGCACCTCGGATGCAGGAACAGCTCTGGATGCTGTTCAGACAAGTGGGGTATTAAAAAGGAAGCCAGGAACACTCCACAGTTCCCTGCTGCCTCCAGTAAGGTGACAAACTCCTGCACTGACTTACCCAACCAGTTGGCTGCTGTAAAAGGAGAAATCTCAACCTTTCAGCTCAGTCTTGAACAACAATCCTTACAACTGTATTTTTTGCAATTTTTCAATTGCATACAGTTTTATTCTTCTGGAGCTTTGGCTCCTACCACATGCAGACATGCCAACTCAGGATGCACATGTGCCTGCTGCAACACCTCCTGATTTGAGTTCCACAACTTTGGATTCTTATCTTGAAAAAAAGTTGCACAAGAGAATATTTCGGGCTAAAATTCCATCTCACTTTTTCTGAACAGAAAACATCAAGAAAACCTATTTCAGGACTACAAGTTCAATGGATTTTGAGAAAAGCAACACTTCCCTACCCTCAGATGAAAAAGAAACGTTTCTAGGGGGAAAAGAACATATAGATCTGAGTTGGCAAAAGAAAGGGTGAAAAAAGGAAACGCAACATCTTTGAAAAGTTAAATAATTTTCTAACATCTGTAGTTCAGCCTCTGCAAAAAAAAAGAGCAGGCCAAGGAAGACTTGTGACTCTCATTTCTAAAGAAAAGTGGGTCCCTTTCGAGGCTTTCAATAGTGAGAAGTGTTGTCTTCCAAGCCATGGTCAGGTTAAGACTGTAATTAATAGTGAGAATCACATGTAGCTTCAGCTTTTGTTCTCTTCTTGGGGACATGGCTTAACAGACCAGCACTCTTTTATTGCTGGCAGCAGTTGCAGGTGAAAAATAAAATATGCATATTCTGCTGCCTGGAAGCTTGCTTGGATGCTGAGTGCAAACACAAATCAAGCTAAACTTCCATTTCTCCTGCCAATTATTCCTTGCTCGGTGTAAACAAACCACGCTGCGGGCCCCTTACCAGGCTGTGCCGGCTCATCACCGTGGTGCTGTTCCTGCGGGTCCGCAGCACGTAAGGCTGGAAAACCTGCGAGTTGTCACTGCAGGGGGGGGGGAGGGAAAAAGGGAAAGCGTGGTGAGCGAGTTTCGAAGTTGTGCTTTACGGAAAAAAGACTGTGACGACAGCTGGAGCCGTCAGCGCCCTGGGAACATCCACCGGGCGGGAGCCCCGCGGGCCCCGCACACGCGG